GACACGGACGACGACGGACAATCACTCATATGATAAGCTCTGCTCGACAAAGTAGATAGCGGAGCTAATCATGGAAAGTTGGTCTGATATAGTACAATTTTACTAGAATGTCTTCTTGGTAACACACAGCGACGACAAATAAGCAAATATTTTGTTTGCACTGGAAGCAACACTCGTATAGCAGATTTAAATTTTGTGTAAACAATATATTTTACACAATTGTTGCATGGGACCCACATGGTACAGCTGGTAACTATAGTGCTTTACAAACTATTATGCATATTCAAATTTTATGCAGTCAGGCTATGTACTGTAACTTAACCTTTTCACCACCAGACTTTCTCGCCCAAATTTGTCTGCACTTTTTTTTTTAATTATTCTTAATATTGCTGAAAATAAACGCTAATTTTGGAGCCAACAGACAAAATTTGAGTAAATTTTCACTCAAAACAAATTGGCTATTTATGTCCCAATCTTCTGAAGGAAAGTGCAGACTATAAACGGGACTATTTTGTGAATTTGTGATGAAAAGAGGGATCTGGTGGTGAAAAGGTTAACTTTCATTGCTAGCAATTTTCATGTAAGTTGCTGACACTTTGTGTCATAGTACCTCAGAAGTGACTCATAGAAAATGAAAGCGGTATTTACAGTGGTACTCTTAACGACTGACACTCAAATGAACATAAAACAACTTACTGTGAAATACTTTATTTTCACTTGGAATAAATTTTCGCTGTAGGAACGATTCAGTGAAAATAAAATCCAGCGAATATACCTTTTTCCTATATTTTACATTCAACTCGTCAGATATCAGTGAAAAATTAGCAAACACCCAAAAACACTAAAGTATTTTACAGTAATTGACTAAAGTATGGAAACACAAGAGGTATGTTTGGTAACCCTGTGATGTGAAATATTGAATAAAGAAATATTAATGAGTACTGTATGCATAAATAACATTAGTTCTCAAATGAAATCATACACAGAAAATTGTGATTAAATTTACAACAATTGCAAAAAATAAATTTAAAATTTGATAAAATAAATGTTGAAAAAAGTTTTTTTTGGAAGCCTAAATGAAAGTCCAATGGGGATAGTATTGTTTCACTCATATTAAAAATGGTGTGATTATGGAATGTTGAACAGCGTGTGAATTAGAATATATTTTTTGTCATGGCTTTGATTGAGTCTCAAATCATGTCAACTCAATGAAACGTTAAATTTTCTCTGATTTGATATTTTAATGGCATTCACATGGCCACAAGTCATAAAGTTGCCTTCCCACTTTGCAAATATGTGAATCACTCCTACAACAAGATAAAATCATAGTATGTATTCAAATGATGCCTATTCTGCCCTCCCTTTCTCGACCATTTCATTTTGAGCGTACAGAAGGATCTTATGCTTTAGATAAACTTACAATGTAATTTATCTTCATGTGTTTATTGTTTACAAGCCCTGTTTAATTTATAAGGATCACTTGAAATTATATTTTGCAGCAAATTTTTTGTTTACTTGTCCACAATCTCAAAATTTGATAATTTATATATTGGTCAGGGGATGGTACATGTACCTCACAATGTTGCAAAATGGGAATATAACTTTAAGAACCCTAGTCACATATTCATTAAAGTGAAAAACAAGGTAACAAAATAAAATACGACTTTAGAAAACTTTGGTATCTGGACTCGGCAAATGCAATGAGAGACCTGAGGCAATACAAAACTGTTTAAAATAGGTAAATAACTAAAAAATTCAATTTTATTTACTGGCAGCATTTCAAGTATTAAGGGACAATTAAGGTTTCACAACTTTATCGAAGTGGGTGGTGATATTGAATGAAAGTTTCACTAAATAGAAGGTCTCTTGATTGTTTTTTCTAATGAAATTATGTGTAGAGTTAAGTAAGATTGCAATATTTAAGAATTGCAACAAGCGATATTTTGATTTTTGTGCATGATTTAGATTATCTGTTGAATGAATATTTTAAAAACACAAGCGTGTAAGATTTCTGTTTATGCACACAGAACATAAATTCACTTCAGCAAATATTTAATGTTGCAAAGTTTACTTTTTGTATTGTCAGAAAATGAAATGTTAAACTCAAGTACTGCACTGTCCAACATGATTAGTTAATGTTTTCTAGCCTCGGAACACTCTGCAAAATAAAAAGGGGGCAATGTTTTTTAGTTTGCAAACAAACCCTCCTACATACACACTTCATAATGGGTCAGAAACCTCTATCTAGTATAACACAAACGATAGGATAAAGCTTTCTAGATATCACTATGGTGATAAGGAAGTCCTATGCAAATAAACATAGTCTAATACCACAGCAATCCCATTGCAGTCACATCATATAATCAATCTGTGGTGAAAGTTGTTCGACAGCAGTAGAAACAAAAGATTGTTAGATCTCAGCTACAGAGGGCAGTATCCACATATATGAAGGTTGGTGAAGCTTGTCATCAGGAATGATTGTGAGATTGTAAGAGTGAAACTATTTCCTTGCCATCGCCTCAAACATCTGAAGAAATAAAATTAGACATGAATTTAGAGTTGTTAAACTGGATGATGAACTCACATTAACAGATAAACAATCTAGATATTTTTATATGATGAAGAAAAAAAAGTACAATTTCAAGATTGGTGGACATCCCATAGCACGCATTAAATATTTGCATAAACTACGGTGGATATCATTCACAGTTTTGATGTTTAGTGTGAAATATACTAGTAACTGATAACAGTACGTGGGAAAAACAAATCAAGCGACGGTATCGTGTTTATTGCTGCGATATGGGAA